CCCCTTGGGCCCCAGGTTGGCTTCCCCCCCCCCCCCATTACGAAAAGAAAAGATGTACTGAATATTTACTATATGGGTTGTGCAGTGCACTGGGAGGAAAAGAAGTTTAAATTCTCAGCTGGTGAGAATGTAAGTTTAAATGGAATTTTAAGGTGGATTTGAAAGGAAGGGAATGAAGTATAGGTTTGGGTTTATTTTATGAATTAATTAAAAGAGCCAGTTGTCAGACTGCTGAGCCTGTCTTTAGGGCTCAGATATTTGGCACTAGTGAGGGCGCTCCTGCTCTGTATACACCAAACATTTCCTGTCCTGACTCCTTTGACTGCCCTTCTACCTCCCTGCCCCATACCTTTGACACCCAGTCATCCACCTAAGGAACCGCAGCAGCAAGGAGGGGGACAGAGAGGCAGCAACTTAATACACAGGAGTTTCTACTGGCCCCAACCAGGGGCTGGTTGGGCCACCTCAAGGACTTCATTTAATGTCCCTGCATGCCTGCCCAGACCTAGGCAGATGGAGTTCTCTCCACAAGAAAAAGCCCAATTCCCTTGCTTCTCATCTGCCTGCTTTCCTCCTCTGGCTAGAGTCTCACCACTGTCCCTCTTGTGTAGTTACAGCCCCATGCCTCTTCAACCTCTGTCTGTTTCAACCTGTCCCTCCGAGGTAGGCCTGAGGAATTCCACTTTGAGCAGAGGTGGGTTGGAAATTTTGAGAAGGGAAAACAGGCATGGAACAAAGAACAAGGTAAAAGTGGGATCAAATATGGTATATAATAGGGAAAGTAAAAGAGAAAAGGAAAACATGCAACTAGATTTTCCTGAATCCAAGGGGTCTCCAAGGATTTGGGTATCCTAAGTACCTGGCCTCAAAAGTTCTCTTCACCCCTTCTCCAGACTCTTACCTGTTTGTGAACCTTTGTAAGCTGTTCCAGGTTGTTCTCAAGAAAGGAAATCTTCTGTTTTTGGGAGTGAATCCCCCCACTGTCCTCGGGCTCCATTTCTGCACTCTGATTAAAGACGCAGGAAAAAATGTGTCTGTCCCAAGGCCAAACAAGTCCCACCCAGACCAGGCCAGGCCAGCCCCGCTGTGGGCAATGAGTGCTGGAGAAACCTGAGGATGAGAGAACATGAGGGCTGGTAAGACCCCAGGATGGCACTCACTTTCTTGACTCGAGTCGTGACGTCTTGAACGAACAGCTTGCGAAGGTTGTGGAGGGTCTGGAGTTCCCGGGCCTGGAAAGAATGATGTAAAATTGGGGATAAAGAGATATCAGGTCAACCTTCTCCCTCCAAAATTATTGGAACCTTTAAGACTGAAGATTCTATATTTTCAAGTGAGTCATTCTTCCCTTGGGAAGAAATGTGTCCTGATTATGCCACAGACTGTGGAAGGGCAAGAGGAATGGGGTTAGGAGAAACTGGGGGGAAGAAATGAAGCCCCCCAACCCTGTTAACTTGGCACAGAAGGAAACCACTCACAACTGTCTCCTCCAGACCCTTGAGGTCCTGCTTGGACTGCTCATGTCGCTCGTACAGAAATCTGCACAAGAGAAACAGAGAGAAGGAGGGAAACAGAAAAATCCCCCAGGGGATTTACCATTAACCTTCTGGTGTCCATCTTTCCAGACTACTTTTTCTATGCATATATATCCACATATACATTTTTACGGGATCATACTATTCATACTGTTTTAACAGAATATCACAGACCTCTTTCTGTGCCAGCTAATACTCAACAGCGGTCATTTCTGATGGTCTCCTTGTTTTCAATCCGCCACCCATCACATTTACTTCCTGTGAGTCACACGTCACACCTACACACACGTCCTGCCTCTACAGGCACGTCTGAGTAGCAGTAACAAGCCCATGTGGCTGTGGGTCTGCAGGCAAATCCTCACTCACGTCAGCTCCTGTAGTTTTGTGCTCTTCTCATGTTCCTCATTCTTCAGCTTCTCATAGTCAGCCTGAAGCTTCTCTAGCTCTAACTGGAGCTTCTGGTTGAGGCTGCGGAGGGTCAGCAGGTATTGCAGAGAGAAAAAAGATGTTAAGGAGGGGAAAAGGGAAGACCAGCTCCTCATTTTCCTCCTTCTACAAGCGAGTCCAGTTAGAACTGATGCGCTCAGAGGCAAATGCGGGCCACTGTTTCCACGACAGAGCAAGGAAACCTGAGCTCTCCAATCATGAGAGTGGAAAAATGGGGATGTTCTTATTCCTTATGTCTCCTCAAGTTGAGCTGCAAAATTGTGTCATTGTTGAGGGAATGACACATGGGAACTAAAGAACCAGATCCAGAGGGACCCAGCTGGCACTAGAGCCACCTTGGAGACCCTTACTCTTTGAGCTCGTCGATGGTCTTCTGCTTCTCGTTGATCTCGTCACGGAGCCGGGCCAGCTGCCGGTGATGGGCCTCTCTGTGACTCTCCATCTGCAGCTCCAGGGCCTTCTGCAAACAACCCCACCCAAGCTCAAAGCCAGACTCCCAGACCAAGCTCCATGAGGCCCAGCACAGCACTGGCCCTGCCAGGCCCCAGTCACCCCACACCTTCCCCACTCACCTTCACTTCATCTGCATCCTGTGTGTCTGGCTCCTTGTCCTTCAGGGCCACTTCATGCACCGTTTCTAAGGAAAAAGGAAGACAGCTCCCATCAAACTACCTCCTTCAGAAAGAACTTCACATTGTGACCAGAGCTCTAGGTAGGGCAGGGGATGGGCCCACAGGGATGTTTGAGTTAGGACGCTCCAATCTGATATAGCAGGGACAGAGAACAAGGGAGGGTTTATGGTTTGTGTAAAAGGAGCTACATGCAAAAGTCTAACTAAATAGCATGAGTTGGCATCCATGATTTCAGGCTAATGCTTTGGGTGAGTGGCTGTCGGGTGGTTTCTTTTGATGTCTGTGACTTTCCCTGTCCCCTCTGGGATCTTAGATCCCAGGATGGGTGGGATGGAGGTTTAAGAAGGCCTCACCCTGGGCCTGGAGCTTGGCCAGCTCATCACTCAGGGAGTCATAGGACTCTTCCAGGTGCCGCTTCTTTAGCTCCACACTCTGCATGTATTCTGTAAGTGAGCGGATCTTGGCCTCGTGCTGTAGGAGAAGGTTGGTGAGAGGATGAAGATAATGGGGCAAAGGACATGCCAGGCAGCACAGACCTCCATAAACTTCAGCTGTCCTCCCAAGTCCTCCCCTCCTGCTATGCCTTCCATGAGGATGTGGGGTCAGGGACCATTCCTCTGGAGACCCTTCCCTGAGACCCTCTCAGCTCAGAGGGCAGTGCCCCCGAGCCTTCACCTCATTGGCCTGGACCCTCTCCCCTGACACTCCAGCTCTTCTGTCCTTGGTTTCAGTTGACCCAAGGACTTTGACATAATTGTGGGTGTTAGGAGCCTTCTTTCTCCCATGGCACCCAAAGGCTCTCCACCTCAGGCACTCACTTGGGAGATAAGGAGCTGGCAGGATGAGAGTTCCCGCCCAGTCACTTCCATCTTGCGGTGACATTCCACCTGGAGGTTCTCCAGCTGCCGACAACGCTTGACCACAGACTTGACTTCCGATTTGATCTTGCTGATGTAGAGTCGGGCCACGGTGAACTCTTCCTCGATGGCCCCACTGATCTCCACTGGCTAAGGGTGGGCAGAGGGGGAAGAGATCCATTCCCTTCCACCTTCCACCTACCTCCATACATACCCATAGACACAGGGACTCAAGAGGGACAGGTATTTTCTAAACAACCTTTAGCGGCTCTCTATCACCTGACATTTCACACTAAATCCCTCTCTCTGCATTTAAAGTTCCAATTTCGACAGTCCCCCTCTTCCATCTTATAAAGCAATATGATTTTCTTTTGTAATCAAACTGATCTCCTTGATTACCCAGGTCTTTGTCACTTCCAAATTCACATGTCATCCACAACTCTTGTGTCCCATCTCTGTTGCTTCTTTACTCAGTACCCTTTACAATGTGTCTTTTCAATTGGGTCTCTGAAAACCTCTACTTGTTTTCCTGCATCTAATTTGAAGGCATGTTCCCTGGCTCTTCAGCCACCTTTCTCAGTGTCCCAGAGGACCTGGATTATCCTATCTTGCATCTCCCCCCAGTGCACAGGACAAGAATGACCTGAACAAGACTGCTATCGCTCTCCACTCACCAGCTTAATCTCCCCGTTGCCCACGATGACACTGAATTCACTCAGGTCCTTCATCAGCCCGTTCAACACCTCAGCAATTCGTTTTCGCTGGTGCCCACTGACCTCCTGTAGCCGCTGCAGCTCAGACTCCAGGGACAGCATGGTGGCCTGGGGACAGCCCCTCAGGTCATTCCTATCACCACCCTTCTGCTCCCCTACCCAGCCCAGGCAGAGGCCTCTCACTTTATGCATAATCCTGAAGGCCACAACAACAAGAACACAGAAGGGTCTGGAAGAGAGCGGGGTCAGCAGGGCAAAGTGCAGTGACAGGGTCTCATGGCATACTGAACAATTTTTTTGTATGCAGTGCAGCAATGCAAACAGCATATAGCCTGTGAGGAAGCAGAGGTGCCCTTGGACATGGAGGATGTTCTGAAGTTAGGGAACTCTTGTACCACTGGTAGGGCACCTACCACCTTCTGAGACAGCTCATCCACCAGAAGCTGGTTCTGCTGGCTCTTTTCCTCCACCTCCTGGGACTTCTGGTCATAGTTCACCGCCAGCTCCTCCAGTGCCTGCAGCACTTCCTTCACCTCATCCTTAGCAGCATCATTCTCTGACTGCAGGTGGCTCAGCTCTCTCTGGACCTTCTCGTTGTCTCCTCGAGTGGACACCAGCAGCTTCAAGAGAAAGAAGGGCAAGTGATGAGGCTCATTGCCAGTGATCATTTCTATGACCCCCTTGGTCTGGGGAGCTAAGCTTCTGACCTAAAGCAAGAGTCAAGAGGAAGTGGGCTTCAGGTTCATAGAATTAGGGCAGCAGAATGAAATAGCACTGAGACTCCAAATTCTGTGCTTCAAGAAAAGCCCCAATGAAGGGCCGGCCGGTGGCTCACTTGGGAGAGTGTGGTGCTGATAACACCAAGGCCATGGGTTCAGATCCCTATATAGGGATGGTCAGTTTGCTCACTTGGGAGAGCGTGGTGCTGACAACACCAAGCCAAGGGTTGAGATCCCCTTACTGGTCATCTTTTAAAAAAAAAAGAAAAAGAAAAGCTCCAATGAAGTTGCCAGACTTCTACAGTTCTTCTTCATTTTGAGGGATAACTAGCCCCTAAGCAGAATGTCCCTTCTCCCATCTGATTTTAAAAAGGTCTTTTTTATGCCTTTCGGAGATGGACACAACCCCTTTCCTCCCTCCCATTACCTCTTCCTGGTCCAGCATCTGCTGCTTGAGCTTCTCTATGAGTTGGCTCTGCTGGTTGATCTCATCATCCTATTGGAGGCAAGCAGGAAAGATGGGTGAAGGGAGGCTACTCCTTCCCATTTAGAGTCATGGGGCTGGGGGTAGAGGCGGGATCTGGATAAAAATCCAGATAGTTTAAGTTTTGAGTTAGAAACCCCATATCCGGGGCCGGCCCGGTGGCACACTGCTACAGTGCGTCGCTTGGGAGCATGGCAGCGCTCCCGTCGAGGGTTCGGATCCCACATACAGACTGGTTCCCGCTCACTGGCTGAGCGAGGTGCGGGCGCAACACCGAGGGTTGCGATCCGTTGCCGGACACGAAGAAAGACAAAAAGGAAAAAAAAAAAAAAGAAACCCCATATCCTAAAAAGAGCTCTTTTCCTTAGCTTCTTTCCTCACCCCTGCCCTCACCTTTAAATTACTCTGTTTGTGGAAGGTGGTATAACAGTGACAAAATACAGCAAAAGGCTTTAAATGTTCATATCCTTTAACCTAGAATCCCACTCCAGCACTCCATTCTAACCAAATCATTCAAAAGCAGTCTCATGCACAAGAAGCAAGGATAGTCATTTCAGAGTTATTTATAACAGCAAAAACAAACAAACAAACAAACTAGAAGCCCTGTAATAAGTGAATGGTTAAGTACATGTTGATAAATAGACTCTCAGGCAGCCATTTAAAAATACTTTTATGAAGAATTGTTAATGAAGCAGGAAAATGCTCATAATATAATGCTGAATGAAAAAAATCGGACACAAAATTACATTTACAATTATATCTCAATTGCATGGTATAAGCATGGAGAAAAGCAAAATGTTAAGTGTTATATCTGAGTGGTGGGATGATGGAAGATTTTAATTTTCTTTTATATATTTTTATTCATTTCCCACATTTTCAATAATGAGTATTTATCCCCTTTAAAATCAATAAAAGGCAGTATAAGCTATTTTTTGTAGTCCCTCACTGCTCATGCCACCGGGCACACCTTTGTGCCCTGGCCAGCTGCCCTCACCTTATCATCAAGCTGCTTATAGAGGCGGCGGATCTCCTCCTCATACTTTTGCCGCTCCTCGGGTGCAATGCGTACCACGATGGATGAGTTGTCATTCACAGGGGTCTCCTCGCAGACCTCAGCTCCCAAGGCTGCATCCTCCCCAGCCAGGCGCTCTGTCTCTGGCACATTCTCTCCTGGCAAAGGGGTAGAACACAGTGAGGGTTGGAGAACTGCATCCACAAGTCCTTACCTCTTACTCCTCAATGTCAAGACCACCAGACCATCAACCTCTCCCACCAAGTGGACCTTCAACATTTTTGAGGTCTGAGGGGAGTAGGTAGTCAGCCCCCTCTGCCCTTCCCTCATGGCTGCTCTACTTCACCCCTCCAGAAACACAGCCTTCCTTCTTGGAGACTGGCCTGACCTTCAACATCACCCAGACAGGGCGGTCTCCCTAAGCCTCATCTCCCACCGCCTCTCATTCTCACAGGATCCTTCTCTAACCATTGCGCCACCGGCTCAGCTCAGCCTCCAGCTTTGCAATCGTCTCCTTCTGGACCTTTGTCTTCTCCTTCTCCTTCTCATATTTCTTCTTCCACTGCTCAGCAGTCAACTCCAGATTCACTGAGGCAGTGTTCTTAATGGTCTTTGCCCTGGGTGAGAAGAAGTGGAACAAAGAGATGAGACCTACATTAGGCTTGGGTGACAATGAGGGGAGAGGGCCGCAGAGCACCAAGGATCCCTCTGAGGACCCTGATACTGACCGCTGCCCAAACATCAGGGTGGACTTGGTCTCTGCATCATTGTAACTAGATGGTGAGCAGCAGATGAACATAGTCGTCCGGCAGTTTCCTCCTAGAGAGTCCTGGAGAATCCGTGTCATTTTGCTGTCACGATATGGAACATAGCTTTTCTGGGGGGAGGGGAGAGACCGTGAATCAGAAAGATAAATTCAACAGGGGATAACAAAGGATAGTGGTGCTGACTGGGGCTTGAGCAACCCATGAATTGGGGCATGATTAGATGGGAGCATTGGGCAAAAGTGGGAGATGGGCTAGGGCTGGGGGTGAGGTGACCTAAGGAACACTCACAGTGCCCTCAGCCAGTGCAGAGATCACGTTCCCCAGGGCCGACAGTGACTTGTTGATGTTTTTCGCCTCGTCCAGCACGGCTCCCTCTGCTCCAGTCTTGCTGACCTACCAGGGCATTAAGGGGCAAGCATGTCATGAGCAGCTGCAAAGGGAAAGGATTGTTGTCACCTCTTTTCCAATTAGGGGAGCTCTGTCCATGGATAAGGGAGGGAACAGGGAAGAGGATGGAGAAAAGGAGGTATCTGGCCAGGATCAGGGAAGGCCCTTCCTCTGTTCCCCAAAACTCTCTTGCCAAAGGCCATCTTCCTCCCCTCTCCCCCACTGTATTCTAGTCTATGAAATGCTCAGGATAGGCAAATCCATAGAGACAAAAGGTAGATTAGTGGTTGCCAGGGGATGGGGAGAGGGGAATGGGGAGTGACTGTTAATGGGTGATAAAATTTCTGGAATTAGATAGTGATGATGGTTGCGCAACGCTGTGAATATACTAAAACCCACTGAATTGTACACTTTAAAATGGTGAACTTTATGGTATGTGAATTACATCCTGATAAAAAATTTTTATTAATTAAAAAAAGGCCATCCCCCAAGGCTTTCTTCCCTGCCCACCCACCCTGTCCCCACAAGACCCCCAACCTTCTCGCTCCCTGCCAGGTCCACTAGATACAGCTTCCCACTGAGCTTCTGTTCAGTCTCCATGTTCTCCTGCTTGATGTTGATGAGGAAGATGCTGTGGCTTCGAGAGCTGTGTTCATTCATGTCTACAGGAGCAAAGGAGAAAGAGGACCTGGGTCAAACCCTGAGGAACTGGAGCCCTCAGCTCCCAGCTTCCACTGACCGCCACCCTCACCCACAAAGAGAGGAGAGAAGGCGCCCACAGGACTAGCCCTGCCACTGTACCTCCCAGGCAGCAGGGTTGCAGACAAGGGGCTCTCCTCCTCTGGAGGACACCATCTTCCCTTGCTCACTTTCCAGTCCCTCCAACCCAGAAGGCACAGAAAAAAGGCAGACCCCCAGACTCAAGCCCTTTATATCTCCACTCACTGGTGACAGCCACATGACGATTTGATTTCCCTTCATCAATTACATCCAAAATTTCCTCTGGGCTGGACACAAAGCGTTCAGTACAACCCTGCAGGGGGCAAATGGACAGTAATCCAAAACTTTGATCTGCAAATTAAATTGCCTGCATATCAGCCAAATGACCGTTCAAGACAGTGTCTTTTCCAAACCCCCAGACTCTCCCCGGCCCTGTGGCACATCTTGCCTCTCCAGGGTATTCACCCTCCAATTTCTGGTCACTGACCTATCCTCCTCCCAAGTCCACACTCTCAATACACTGGCCCCACATAGGTGCCCTGGCCCCACTCTCACCTTGACAAATGGCACCCGGTTCTTGTCCTCGTGCACAGACAGATTGGTCTTGGTCACTGAATCAAGACAATGTACAGTGAGCAAGGCCAGCTTTTCCACCCGACCCTCTCTGCACCCACTAAGATGGTGGTATCTTCTATATGCTAAAGGGAGGAAGACTCCCCAGTAAAGCCTAAACCCCCCGCACACAGAAGGCTTGGTTCCTCCCTCTCCTCCTCAGGGCTCCGGACCCTGGGCTTCAGCTCTTCTTGGGCTGTTTGTATGTAGACCTGAGCCCCTAAGCTCATCTTCTGACCCTCTCCGTTTCTGTAAATTCCTGGTGACTGGAGCCAAAGGACTCAGGTCCTGTGTGCTCTGTGCATCTCTTGTCAAGCAGTACCTAATCCCAAGAGCAATGTGATCTTTCTTTTCCTTGCCCTCTTCACTCACTGGGGCTAAACACTCACCATCCAGAAGGTCACGAATTTTGTCCAGGTAAATCTCAAAGTAAGAAACCTGGTTAGGGAGAAATAAGGAGTATGACGTGAAGAAGGTCTATCTTAAATCTGATACAGGAATCCCAAACTAATGTGACCCATTCAAATGGTGGTGGTGGGAGGGCAAGAGCAGAAGAGAACATCTTAATGGAAAAGAAGAACTGAGGTAACCAGAAGGGGAAGGTAAGGTTGGGGAGTCCAGTATCTTCAGTGGGTTCATTCTAGATCTTCCCCTTCCAGTCCCCAACTGAGGATGCCCAGCTGTCATGCCCTGATCACCTTGATGTGGAACTCAAGGTTCTCATCCATGGAGTAGATGTGGTTGAAGATGTCTCGAGCAATTCGAGGAATGATTCCCATCAGCTGGGGGTCATGCAGCTTTCCCTGGGGAGGGAGGGTATTCCAGAGTGAGCCTGGGGCTCAGGAAAAATGAGACAGCTCAGAGGTATGCAGGTGAACACAAAGGTAAGAGTTGATAAGAAGAGCATCCTAAGTGAGGAGATGGTCACCACCATGTCTATCTTTTAGTGGAAGGAAGAGATAACTGTGCAGCACTTTGGACTATCTTAACTACTGCCTTTTTTTTTTTTTTTTTTTTTGGTGGCTGGCTGGTAAGAGGATCCAAACTCTTGACCTTGGTATTAGAATACCACGCTCTAACCAACTGAGCTAACTGGCCAGCCCTGCTGCTGCTTTTCCAGATCAAAAGAAAACTGGAGTAGTGGAAAGGAGGATAAACTGCAGCAGGTTGAGGGGATTCCATTAAACTTCCCCTGTAATATTGCCCCTCAGTTCATCCTCTGTACCCATCTGCCTCCAGATCAGACAACCCTTGATTCCTAGATCTTCCCCTGCTGAGATTCCTAGATCTTCCAATTAACACTCTTAGCTCTTCACTCCCACACAGAGTCAGACCCCTCACCTCCATGGTATGTGTTTTCCCTGAGGATGTCTGTCCATAAGCAAAAATGGTGCCATTGTAGCCAGCAAGGACATCTAGAAGAGATAGTGGAGAAAGAGTACTGGTAGAGATAAGTAAGGTAGGGAGCGGAGAGCTGAGAAAATACGTTCTAAAAATACCTCCATTACCTTTGACAATCTGCATGGCACATGCGTGATAAACTTGCTCCTGAGTCGTGTTTGGGGGGAATACACGGTCAAAGACATATGGCTTCCCCTGGAGTGAAAACAAAAGATGTCAGACATCAGCAGGCAGGGTGTATGGAAGAAGAAATGCCACAGCCCCTTCCATCAGCCTGAGAAAGGCACCCCCATCCTTCAACCCTCTGAAGACCCAGACAATTTGGAGGATGAGAGAAACTAGAGGGAGAAGTAAAGTTTAGTATTGACACCGGGAGTTGTGTCTGTGTAGCAGAGTGTCACCGAGCAGGGTCACACAGTGAGACTGTGTGAGGGAATCTTAGTCTTGGTGTGATGATTTAGCACTCCACTACCCCCAAGCCCCTCCTGGGAAAGCAAATGAGAAAGACAAGAGGGACACAGGCTATGGAAAGTAAAGAACAATTCATTAACAGTAAAAGGTACCTCAAAGTTTAAAAATATCTTCTTCAGTTGATCCATTTGTTCTGACATGGGAAGATCTTCAAGATACATTAAGTGAACGATGAGAAGTTAGTGACATATGTATAGTATGTTCCCTGTTGTGTAAATGAAATATACATATACTGAGAGCCATTGTGGAAACATTAACACAAGCTCTCTCTTCATGAAAGGAATATATGAAATCAAAAATATGGGTCTCCCTTTAAGAAGGGAATCAGCTTTAATTAAAGGGAAACTATGTATCAAATCATTCTGACCTATACAAGTACTTTGTTTAATTCAGGTAATACAATGTAAATCATGTGTGCTGTTAAGAATGCTAACGATACAAAATATTTACACGTCAGAGAGCTAAACAAAGAATATATTTGATATCTCATCATATAAAAGGTAAGATCTCTGATAAGAGTAAATGAGACTATGTTGTTTCTCTATCATAAATGACAAATTTCCCAGTTGTGTTTTCCTGCCATTCACACAGACTTCACAAATTCTTGTCAAATTTTACTTGTCTTGTTTTACTACAGAGCTCATCTTTATCCTACTGAAATGAAAACCTCTAGATCTATGGACACCAGAGTTTGGGAGATATGTTTTAACTAATTGTCATAAAACTTGGCTAGAGCTGGAGATGCAGCTCTAAGTATATCTGCAATATTTCATCAATATATGTAGAATATTTTTCTGGAAGGAATTATACAAAAATATTAGCAGTGATTACTTTGGGGAGAGAAAAAGGGAGAGAAGAGGCTTTCATTTTTATTTTTATTCTTTTGGCAGCTGGCCAGTAACAGGTGTCAAACCCTGGACCTTGGTGTTATCAGCACCATGCTCTAACCATGAGCTAACCAACCAGCCCTCATTTTTCATTTTGTATTCTGCATAATTTACATTTTTTAGCCATATACAAATATTTAATATTTTTTAATGTCAAAGTTGAGACAATAGTGCATTCTTGTTTTCTTCCTTATACTTCTCTGTATAAAGGAAAACTAATAAATGTTATTTTTTTAATATTAAAAAAATTAAATCTGGCTTATGGAAAAAATCCTCCCTGAAACATTTATCTGGTCTCTCTCTCTTTTTTTTTTTTTTTTTTTTTAAAGGATGACCGGTAAGGGGATCTCAACCCTTGGCTTGGTGTTGTCAGCACCACGCTCAGCCAGTGAGCAAACCGGCCATCCCATATATGGGATCCGAACCCGTGGCCTTGGTGTTATCAACACCGCACTCTACCGAGTGAGCCACAGGCCGGCCCCAGTAAGGGGATCTTAACCCTTGACTTGGTGTTGTCAGCACCACGCTCACCCAATGAGCTAACCGGCCATCCCTATATGGGATCCGAACCTGTGGCCTTAGTGTTATCAGCACCGCACTCACCCGAGTGAGCCACGGGCCGGCCCTATCTGGTCTCTCTTGATGAAAGCTTTTGAAGCCCAAGAAACAGAACCCATAAAGAAAAAGAAGTTGGAAATGCACTCTCTATAATGAAGGGAGTACCCTAAACTGATAGAACATTTCTGGAGGACAATTATATTAAATATTTAAATGTACATACTGTTCACACTCTGTACCAGAATTCCAGTGCTAGGAATTCATCTTACAGAACATTTGCTGAAGCACTTAAAGATCTATGTAGAAGGATGTTCATTGCATCAATTTTGGGTTTTCTGTTTTGTTTTGTTTTTTAAAGATGACTGGTAAGGGGATCTTAATCCTTGATTTTATGTTGTCAACACCACACTCTCCCAAGTGAGCTAACCGGTCACCCCTATATAGGGATCCGAACCCATGGCCTTGGTGTTATTAGCACCAATGTCTCCCAAGTGAGCCACAGGCTGGCCCCATTGCATCAATCTGTATTGAAGAGAAAGTAGAAATAATTCAAACATTCATCAAGAAGAGGTTGGTCTATTAAAATGAGTGAGGTTGGTTTATATATATTGACATGTTCAAGACTTACTGTTAACTGAAAAAATAAAAATAATGTGCATAAATGTGATTACATTTTTTAAAAAGTATGTGAATAGAATAGCCTTAGAAAAAAGAAGTGAAAGACTATACACCAAACTGTTAATGGTAACTCTCCAGTGGTTACCACTGGAAAGCTGAATGACAGGAACTTAGGCTTTTTACATTTTTCCATAATATTTAAATGTTTTATAAGGATAACATATTGATTTTAAATTAAAAATAGAAAATACTATAGATGATGTTGTAGAAAATATGTAATGACCTGACAAGGTGGGCACAAAATACTATTAAGCAAAAAGTGGTTTTTTAAAAAATAGTATGCAGCTCTCAAAACACTTTACACCATCTCTGTTGATGTGGAAACTGAAGATCTGAAAGGCAAAGTGAGGTCTCTTTGTATTCTGGCCCATTAAGTGAAGGATATAGACATAAGGAACCCTTGGGAGGAAAAGAGATGCAGGACACCGCCCCCCCCCCAAGTGAATCAGGAAGCACAGGCCCAGGAAGCAGCCGTGCCTGGAGTGTGGTGGCCTCTGAGTGTCTGCTGACTCCTTTTCCTGGTTATGCTCCATGCGATTGATGCAGCAGCCATAAAATGACCAGCCACTCCTTCCACCTCCACCCTACCCCCATCCTGAGGCAGATCCCAGGTCCTGTCTGAGTCCAAGTGACCACATGACCATCTCCACCCATCTACACTGCATGGCGTCAAGTGATTTGCTCCCATTCACTCTATCTCACCCCAAAGCCATGTTTGGGCCTAAAACACTGGGGCTGTAAGAAAATTTGAAGAAAAAACATAGTTTTTTTCTTAGCTTGCATCTCTGGGAGTTTCCTCTTTTCCCATGCTTACTTGTAACTTTGAACCTTGGTTATGGGGAAGAATGACATTATTTACATAAATATAAAGTTGTTTTCCAGATAGCCTGGAGCTGCAAAGTTGCCAGAAGGCAAGTGCTATTCAGACCCTGAGAAGCCAAGGAAGACATCAATAAAGCTATGCTGATTTCACCCTGAAGCAAATCAAAATCCTGCAGGACCCTAAGATGATGCTAAGAAGGAGAACAGAAGCCAGACGAAGGCTTGGTAAGGTTTTACACCTGGCCCCTTACATGTCCCCCTCCCACCTGCCTTTCACTTCCCCCATTCTATTCACCCAACACCCTCTTTGAAAACCCCTCAGTAAATCTGAGTCTTTGAGATGGTTTTAGTCCTGTCATCTCCTTCCAGTTTATTGTGGAGATAGGTTAGCTGACCATCTCCTTCAGGTTGCCAATATTTCTGAATAAAGCTGACTTCTTTCTTCACCAAAAAATAAAAAAACAAAACAAAACAAAATAAAATAGCATGCAAACATATATATGTTGGGAAAATAGAATGGTATGGTCAGGACCCTTGCCTCAGGTCCAGCTGGGTGTGGTTCAGCACATCCTTTGTAAGCAAATTGTGTGTGTGTGTGTGTGGAGTTAGTGCACATGCACGCCAATGTATATTTTTAGTTTTGTTGTTATTCTTGTGTTCTTTAAGTTCGTGAAGCAGGCTGGCTGGCGTTTACTGCCTCAGGTGGCCACGGTCTAACAGCCATGCTTTCTAATCTGCAACTTCCAAGGACCTGTTTGCTGGTTACCTAGCTCATAGACCTGAGTGTAAGGGGTCTGGTGACCCAGCCTGGTGTGTGTGGGGTGTGGTGACCCAGCCTGGCATGTGAGGGGTTTGTGGATGGGCTTGAGGGGTCTGGGAGCTCCAGACCCAGCCTTAGCTCAACAATTAGCTATGTCGGTAGGATTACCGGCAGGTAAAAGAGCCCGACAACTGGCGTGGTCGTGTAGCTCTACAATTGGTGTCACAAAAAGGATTAAGAGCTCTACAATTGGCTATGTCGGCAGGATTCCAACATTAGCCTAGAGTAGCTAGACAATATACTATTGTAAAAAATAAAAAGTATGTAGAAAATTATTCCATTTCTGCAAATATATATAATGTATATGGATATATGTATACTTTGCATTTACGTTAACAAAAAATGATTGCATTGTGCAACACTGAATATACTAATTATCCTGATTTGAACATCACATATTGCACATAGGTATTGATATTCAACACGGTACCCCACAGATATTTACACTCAATTATGTTTTAATATAGAGCTCAGCCTTATAATCCCAAGGTCATGGGTTCAGATCCCCATACCAGCCAGCTGCAAAAAAATTTTTAAAAAGTACGTTTTAATAATGAATGAATTAATTAATTAAAAATCTTAAAAACATGTTTAATAGTTGTTATCCTTGTACTGTAGGATTTTAGGAGGTTTTGTTCTTTTTTATTTAGATTTAAAACTTTTCTAAAATGATAATACACAATTTTTATTTATTTATTTATTTATTTATTTTTTCCTTTTTGTCTTTTTTACTGACCAGTAACGGGATCACAACCCTCGGTGTCGCGCCCATACCGGGGACCGGCAACGGGATCGCAACCCTCGGTGTTGCACCCGCACCACGCTCAGCCAGTGAGCGGGAACCGGTCTCCACATGGGATCCGAACCCTCGGCAGGAGCGCTGCCACGCTCCCAAGCGGCACACTCTCCAGTGCGCCACCAGGCCGGCCCGATAATACATAATTTTTAAATAAGAAAAT